AGGAAGGGTGGGGGAGAGAGGGGTGAAAATGGAAGTTGATGAGTGGTCTGGGTTATGGCCGAGTGAAAAATCATGTCTCAACATGTTTCTGCTGAGTCTCAACAAATGGTAAATGCTAAATGTTAAGAGAGGTAACAAAGCTATACATGTCAAATGACTCTCAAATGATATTTTAAAGAAACGTAAAATTCAATGTTCAGGTGGAGACTGCACTGGAATCAGTGTAACTGTTACAAATATAACAACAAATGCAACTAAACCAGGCCAGGGCAAACTAAGGCCCAGGGGCCGGATGCGGCCCGTTTACCTTTTTAATCTGACCCGCCAAACTTTTCCAAATGATATAATATATTTATATTATCATTATACTTCTGCCTTTTCCCTGCAATACCGTGATATACTGCAACACTATAAACAGAACAATATATTGAGTTTTCTTTTTAACAATTTATATTTATAAATTTAACAGAATATCGATAAATATTGTGAAAGTGGGAAGAATTTCAACTAGTTTCTGACATAGGTTTGGGTTTGGGTGTGAAAGTGGGAAGAATTTCAACTAGTGTCTGACATAGGTTTGGATCCTGCAATACCGTGATATACTGCAACACTATAAACAGAACAATATATTGAGTTTTCTTTTTAACAATTTATATTTATAAATTTAACAGAATATCGATAAATATTATTAAAGTGGGAAGAATTTCAACTAGTTTCTGACATAGGTTTGGGTTTGGGTCGTTCTCCACAGTAGAACATTCTAATCCGTTCTCAACTTGATTTTCAGATTTACGGGAATAACAGACTGTGGGACTGAAATCTAATCTCACAGATTCTGCTTTTGTAATGTTGGCACCATGTTTGCCCTGATGTCAAATGTCTGCTGTAATTGGATTTGGTTTTGTGATGGGAATGTGTCAACGTTTTTGTAAAGTCCAGAGCTGCTGCTGCTCGTCTTCCTCCAAACGCAGGCAAATATCTTCACCGAGGGGTTTAGACTGCAGGTCATTTCCCGGCAGGATCACTCGACTCCTGCTGTGAATTTGTGATAAGAGTAGATACTGGAAGCTAAGTAAACCTCGTTAAGATGCCCCTCTCTGTTTAAGGGGGTAATCCCAAACACCTGGTCTAGATAACCGCTGAAAAAACCCATCTTTGTCTAGCAGTGACTCGACAATTCTCTGCTGCTTTAATCTCATATTCTGTAGCTAGGTCGGGTATTTGGCGAGTAAAATTTTTATACTCAAGTTACTGCGCGCTACATAAAAAAGTTAATTGATGAACTTTTCCTGAGTTTTACTGTGGAGAATAATTCACTGACAGCGAACTGACTCTGTCAGTCTGTTACCTTACTGCTCCGAGGCTGGAGCATCGACACAGATGTTTGGTGAATTACAGTACAATAAAAATTTACTACAGACATCCAGTCACTCAAGAGTCAGTGCTTAACTTGATCCCCTCACTTTCCATGTAGCTTTTATGCTCAAACGAAAGCTAAATCTGTTACCGATGTCACAAAGAAGTATTTCAGGAAGAGTCAAAAGAATTTATATCTTGTGCTTTTGAGACTTTTAGATAAACCGTCCAAGTCATGAAGAAGGGTTTTGGGATCTTTACACAACTTTCTAAATGCTAGCTGTCAATGCTGTTTAGCAAATATTTCATTTAATGTCCGAACTTGAGACCTGTCTCTTTTATGCTGTGCCCAAGTACATTTGTATGTATGTGCACTACATATATATTTGTATATATATTTACTGTAAATATATATACATGTATACATATAAATACTGTATATCTACATATATACTGTATATGTGAATATACAGTATGTATATATGTATGCATGTACATATATGTACATACATATATGTATATGGATATGTATATGTATAAATATACTGTATATATATGTATCCATATATATGTATATATATATATGTCTATAGAGTACATATGTAGATTGACATACAATCTAAATGGACTCAGTTCTACAATATAATCTTGGTGTTTAATCAGTTCCTTTTTTATTTCCAGCTAAAATGTATTGATTGTGAGTCTCAATGAAGATGACAAAGGTTAAGAAACGAAATATATTTTGGTGTGATTTAATTTTTTTTTTCATAGAGTCAGTGTTGAATGTGTTAACCTTGTCTCGGCAGCGTG